TTTATACAATTTTTATAGGCGTGGCATTCGATTTTACCCTATTTTCATTGTCTGCCGCACTGAGACGTAATATTGGAACAGGATCCCCTTTCTGTTTGAACAAACGGTGGTCACATTACAAAACTGTAGTTAACTATCTCAGTATTTCTTCTGCTTTTCTTTTTGGCTTATTGATTTGCTTGCTTCATTTAACATAATTTTTTTTTACTTATTTAACAAAAACAATAGGTTCGGTATCTCATTTAATTCGTTTTATATTTCTTCTATGTTCGTAGTCTACTTTCTATTCTCTATATCGTATGGTAAACGTTACAACATGTCTTTCTTACAAAAGTTCAAAGTGATCTTTGTAGCTTTTAACATAAGTTTTTTTTTTTTTAATTTTATTGAAGTTCTTGTAATGTTTTTAAACTATTTTTCTCTTATAGAATTTAACCAATTTTATATTATATTTAAACTTTTTTTATCAAAAGTTTTCTCTTTCTTCAATCTTCAATAACCGAACCGATAATGTTATTTATTTATAACATTTCTTTTAATCCAAGTTTCATATGGCTCAATTAGCACTATACTGTATTATATCGATATCAATTAAGAACCGCCAAATATATCGCAGAAAGAAGAAGAAAAAATTTCATTTTCAAGGAGGGCTCTATTCACTACTCGTTGCTTCATTGATTTACAAAAATTGAGAAATGTAGATGCTTTCATGGACTTTATTCGACCATGAGCTTCGTTTTATTATCAATACAACAACCATAACTACTCAACTCAGAAAATAGTTTGGCGAAGTAATTCTTTCTTTCCTTTCAAATCATTTTTCTGTTGTCATCCGACGCACATGACTGATAAGCTCAGTACGTAAGATCTCTTAAGAATATTCCAAGCTGAATGCGAATTGACTTCATTCACATGCCAATTTCATTACACATTTTCTTTCGAACAGTTGGAACAAAGGTATACAAAGTCCCGTTTAAAAAATTTAAGAGAGACTACTATGAGTAGATGTTAGGAGTTCTAAAAGAGAAATGTGAATTAAAGCCAACTTAGCAGGAAGAGTGCTCAACCTAATCAATGTTTTTGAAATCTCTGTATTGAAAAGGAATAAATCAACTTTCCTTTTTGATGTTTATTTGACTTTAGTTGTAGGATAATAAGCAATATTTCTTCTACCAAATATAAATATTTCTAAACGAATGCAGGCACATATCTATAGCTCAATTTTTGTCGTGTGTTTAAAAAATTTAACTAGCCAGCCAAATTTTACATTGGTTCTAAAATAAGCAAACACTCCACGTCCACAGTAAAACGGAATTTACCAAATTGAAGTCAAAAATGAAACACACACAACGTATCTTGTGAAATCAATAGCAAATAATAATCTATATTATTTTTTATTTATGACATTATATTACTTTTTATATTTTTTGATATTTATATATATTTTAATTCTCATTAAATAATGATTTTCTTATTTTATCTTTCTATTCTTTCTTAATAACTTTTTCTTTTTGTTTTTTTCAAAATTTATTATCGAATTTCTTTTTCAAATGAAATGATTCAATTCTTTATTAATTTTTCTGCATTAATTATTTTCAGATAATATCCACAACGTAGAAAGTATTAACTAAACAATCAAATTAAGAATACTAGTAATAAAAATTAGAGAAAGGGCACGAGAAGCAAATTAGACATAACCGTGTTTGCGAAGGATGTTTTAATTTATAAAAAGTAAAATATCCATGTATATATATATATCACGTGTATACATATAGATATACGTGTATATAAATATATTCTTTCATATATACGTTTTTCATTTTTATTACAAAAACCTCAATATTGTGTACTTCGACGATGCAAATTGAAAACGAAAGATAAAATATTGAATTGGTTTTTCGTTAGAACTTCTGCGTTTGTACGTATGGACTTTTCTAACACAATATTTTTTCTTTTAAACCACTTTTGTGAATCCCACGTGTTTTGTAGGTCTAATGAATATTGAGAGGTTTTCAAGGTTGTTTTTGCCATAAGTTAGCAATAATTTCAGAATTTAACTTATTTTTTCGAGTCTCCGCTGTTGAACTCCTGGATTTGAAAAAGCTTGGCTTAAAATATCTCTTTGTGTGCTTGTAATGTTCCTGATATTACGAAATTAATGATTTGTTTGAATTTACAAGAGGAAAAGAAAAAAGTACTGAAATTGCTACGCTTTTTAGCGCACAATTATTTGGGTATTGCATGCGTCTAAATTTTCGTACAATAAATTACGTGAAGTATATTTTTAAAGCCTATACCTTAGACTATGTTGTTTACGTTTGGCATGGCTTTTGTTTAGATTTGGCAAGAAACAACGTCGCCACGAGCGGTCTTCAGATTCTTCATCCTCTTCTTCATCTTCAAGCCTTAATTCAGGCAGAGTATCCGTGGCAGTAGCCTCTGTTTCGCTATTATACTGGCTAGGATTGGGAAAAGATATGGCAGCTGTGGTAGCTTCTTGAGGCTGGTTTGTTTTGTTGAGTTCTGCTGTTGTAGCTTCTTTATACACTGGACTGGCTATCGGTCTCATTTTATTAAAAACGCTGGAGGCTACGTTTGACGTCTGTACAACAGGAGCAAAAACAATTTGCAAACGTTTATCCTTAAATAGTTTGCCTCTCAATATCGCCTGTTCAGCGTTTATACGTGTAGCGTAAGAGAGTATCAGCTGAGGTTTTTCCAAATCCATGTCATGCTTTGTAATTTCCCCGAAATGCTATTTGTAAATAATTAAAAAAATGATTACAAATTGGAGTTTAATTTATATTTTAAACTACCTTAAAGTGTCCTAGAACAAAATCAGCTTCTTCACTATTAAAACCCGTTACCACAATGGTCTTAGGACGTCTGTCTACGCGGGTGGAACCTTCAGGATAGGAGTTTCGTGCACGCGCGGTATTCCTGCTCGCAGCCATGTAATGACTGGATTTGGCCAGATATTAGGGGAACCCTGGACTGTTGGAGTAATAGCAGACGACGGAGTACTACCAGGCACTATACCAAGACTTCGCTGTAATTCCTCTAGCCGCTTTTGTGTAGCAGTAGTATCATTGCCCTCTTGCTGTTGCGCAAATAGCTCCAACTCAATATCAAGCAATTCCTTTTTCTGCTGCTCCTTAGTTTTTTTCACTGGCGGTGGTGGTTGCTGATTTTGAATTTGAGCTTGCATTTGCTCCTGTTCGGTAGCAATTTCTTTGCGTAATCTGTCGATGGTTCCCTGAAGTAATTTGATTGTGTCCAAAGTTTTACCACGTTGAGGATCTGATGGTTCACATCGTTCTACTAAGTCTAAAGCTGATTTCATTTGCTTTAAATAGCTTTGCAAAAGTTCCTGCTTACGTTTGCGTAAACCGTTGGCCAGTTGGGCTACGGCTTTTACTTGTTACTCTTGTTTTTTGCGAATAATAGCATTTGCTACGCCAACGGGGCGTGGTGGTACATTGTTCTTGAGTCTTAAGGAGGGTGTCGGTACATGGGTGGCGACCACTGCAGTTGTGGTGGTGATAGTTGTGTTTGCTGTCGTGTTGATTGTCGTGGCATCTTGAATGCTTGCATTATTATTATTGTTGTTTACATTCGGACCAGCTTGATTTTGACTAACATTGGCCGTTCTTGCTGAATCTGCTGATGGAGTTGGTATAGCTGGCACATTATTTAAATGGTATTGACTATTCTTGCGTCCTCCTCCCGTCTGTTGACCTATGACGGTATTACCATCTCCGGATATCGGGGTGTCAGCAGATGTGTGCCAAAAGACCTTAATAAAACGATTATTTAACACGGTTTCAGTGCTGCGATATGCCACGTTAGCTTCGGCGTGTGTAGAGAAGGTTACAATAGCAGCTTCCGGATCACTATCGTAAGAGAGTTGGATGTTAACAATTTTTCCGAATTTGGCAAAATGGTTATTCAGGTGGGCAATAGTGTTAAGACCACGTGGTACTTTGCGTAGTTCAAGTGAGCAGTTTTGCATGCTAGCTACACGTGGCCCAAGTCGGCTATGTGCTGGAATTTTACGTTTGGGTAGCCCTTCGGCTATAGCCACAGAGTCTTCCAACTCAAAACGCCTTTTACCCTGTGCTTGTAGGGTGGCATTTACATCGCCGCCAACACCGACTGCTCCGCCAGTGGCATAAACCACTGGTGTGGGTATAAGTTCGCGCTGTAAAGGAGTAGTTACCGCGGCCGGATTAAAAGGAAAAGGTATCATCGGAGCTGCTGCCCGAAATCCAACTCCAGCTGCATTGCGCACATAATCCGCGGCGCCGTTACTGACTTTGTCAGGACCTTGCACTTGAGAAAATCCAACAGGTGCTCCGGGGCCGCCCATCATAACGCCACCAGTACGTGTAGTTCCGGAAAATGGATTTATACCAGCAGCTGCAGAGCTAGCGATTAAGGTCCCCGGGGTTGCAGCGTTTACCATAGCTGCACTGGGAGGTCCCGCGCGAGACCAAAGATCTGGAGCATCAGGATTATATTCACGTAACGACATACTTATCAAAGCTGTGTTGTTTAATCCTTCGAACACAACCGGATTAACACCGTGATCCCACGGACAAGTTTCACCACGAACACAGTACCCTTTCTCATCGAAATCACGGCATCTTTGACGTTTTTTAGACTCGTGGTGGTGGCGTGACTCTGGCGACGTCGCACAGCTAGCCACACCGCGCAATTGACCACGGCCAGTACTAGGAGATCTCTTACTCTTATTAACGCGATCCAAAGAAGGCGAGCGACTGCGTGGTGAGTGCGATGAATGGTTCGCTGAACGACTACCACTTGTAGCATTTGCCTTGCGCTCTCCCCCTCCGCTTATATTACTGCTGTTCACCATCATACGGCACCGATCACCAATACTGCCACCACCTCCTCCACCCCCCCGGCGGCGCTCGTACCTGGAATTATCGCAACCACCTGCAACAGGTGGCGATTTGTTGCGAAATTGTCTTTGGGATTTTTCGCGTTCATTAATGCGACGGTCGCGAGAACGAGAGCGGCGTGAAAATTGTTCATTGGAACGTGAGCGTGATCGAGTTCGTGAGCGCAACGAAGCTCGCCGCCTGCGACTCTCCCTCGGTTGATTTTCTTTATCAGCAGTAATAGTGCGGGTAACTGTCGGAGGGCTTGCGCTTCGATGGTGATGGTGATGGCGGTCGTTGTTTTCATTTCCTCCCCCACCATCCGCAGGATAAGTATGCGTTGTGGATGATGCTGTTTTATTCTTTCCTGAGGAAGGATTGTGATAATTATAATGAGCTGAATATGCTTGCGGCTGTTGTTGTGATTGGTTGTGTTGCGAAGATAGTTGATGGTGAGACCATATTGAAGACGGGGTATGTTCTGCGACCGCACTTGCATTATTGGTAATGAGAACATCTTTGATTTTGCTCTAAAGCAGACAACCAAAAAAAAAAAAAAAGAACAATTAACACAGCCCAAAACGCATAAGCAAAATTTGTGTATATTATTTCATATTATACTCACTTCTTCAATAGGTGGTGTATGATTTTTATCCGTATACATGCTAGCGGTTAAAGTGGTGGTGGAAGTAGCGTCTGTCACTTTAATGCTTTCATGATTATTGATTGTTCCATGATTGCTTTCATGTTGCTTTATCACATTTATACCGGTTCCTGCTGGCGCGCCAATAGCAACGAATCGCAAAGTTTGAGTATCAATGTCTGTGGTCGTTACAATGTCTGTGGTAGTTTCTTCGTTGTCTTTGTCCGCAGGAGGCGGCAATTTTAAGTATTCTTCTGTAGAGATGGCCTCAAAAAGTCTTTCGACAAATGATTTCGTTTCCTCAGTTAAGAACACATCCAATTGTTCAATCATAACTCGTTTCAGTTCTTTTTCGGGTTTGTCTTTTTTTAATAATGCCAATACGTAACGTGTTAGAGCTGAAGAGTCTGCATCACATCTGAAAATGTACCACGCAAGCATAAGAAAAGCTATTTGTGTAGTACTAGCATTGCGATTTGCAACTTACACAGTAAATCCAGCTATATTAAATTAACAGCTAAATTCAATTGACTTTTAGAAATAATTTTGTGCTAATTATTATTAATAACTAAAAAAATGCAAAGAATAAAATTCAAGTAAAAATAGACAAAAGAGAAGAGTAAAGAAAAAATGCATGTACACATCTAAGACTACCGTAAGCAGTGCAGAACCGAGTTATAAGTTGTCACCTAACCCATTGCAAACATGCTAAAGGGTGGCTACCGACAATATTAATTGAAGTCGGTTAGTTTTCGAATCATACTAACATGTTAAGTTAATGCATACATGGCATAGACAAAAGGCGCTTATTGAGAACAGTTTTGATACAACTAATAAAATCCGATATTGATATTAAATTATAGATATTATTTGGATTCTTGTAAAGGACTCTGAACGAGTGGAGTATAACCATAAAGTTGCAGTTATAACTACATTAGCTGAGTTTTATGAAAATAAAGTTACTAGAGAATCGGTTCGGACGTTGTTCGCTGTTTCAAAACATAGTTCTGCGGTCGTAGCTGTAGTGAGTGGCCAGGCGAAAAGGCGTAAACCTTACCGATTTTTCACACATCTACTAGGCTTCGGTCATTAATCTTCTATCTCTTTTTGTTTCCATGCTCAAGCTCTTGTATAGTTTTTTTGCAATGTAAGGATCGTCAAACTCTTGTACCCACATAGTTTTATGTACCCAGACCTTAACGCCCAGATTAAAACGTAGGTTTTAATCAAATAGAGACTCTGTGTCCTTGGATGAATCTACATATTTCAGTTTATGAAAATCGATGAAATACTCAGTAATGAATGAACTTCCCCTTGAGAATAAAAGCTTCTTGCATTTCAGATAGGAGAAAATACGAGTGCGATTTCAAGGAATATGAAGCAAGCAATTAAACATCATGGTTGGATTAAATTCACCTGGATCCCCATTGAATTCGATGCATAGAGCAAGAAATTGATAAGGGCTGGATAGTTACGATGATTATCTGTGCGATTATGAAAAATGAGATATAAAATTTGACGAATCCTGTTTTCTTTATGCTTTCAAAGGGAGTCTCATTAAAGACCTTCCCGCTATCAAAAGACATCTGTAAGAAAGGAGTGCCTCCAGTAATGAGGATATGAAATTTCTTTTACAATTGTTTATTCCTACTCCAAATAGCACATTTCACCTGTACACTTGGGATAAGTCTGTTCATACAAGATTTCAGATTAGTTCATCCTTTGTAGCACGCATTAAAATATTGTATACCATTTATTTATTGAAATGCTTATCGTCGTACTCGGGGTCTTATATTAAAATATTAAAAGTATCTCTTCTTAGTAATTTGAACATTTTCTGTTAATTCTTACCATATATTCATACAAGTGCTTTTCTATAATATATAGTCTTATATATATAAATGTATAAAAAAAGAGCATTTATCTCCCCTTGAATATCTCCTGACTAGTTTTATTCAATTTTTATAGACCTGCCGTTCGATAGCAATGAGCTATTGATAGCATGTGAAAGAATATCCAAAATTATGAATTCAAGAAGAAATTGAAAGAACGCTTTGAGACGGCCGATTGTGGAGAACTTTAATATTTCCCAGTCGTAAATAAATTATTGGAAAAAGTTTGAATGTCAGAGCGCAACTTTGCAAAGATAGCAATGGAACGAGGTATTCAATTAAAAAACAAGGTAATTGAAAGGAATAAAAATGCGCATCTATATGGGGATATGTTTGGAAGTCCCATGTACATCATGTCGGGATCAAGACCTGATATATATTATATTAATAGAATCAGTAAACGGTTCAAAACTGAAATAATTACTATTATAAAGCCCATATAGTCAGCTAAATGGGCTAAACAGTAGATAATTATTGCAGCAATGAGAATGTCTTAAGGGAATATAGTTTCGTGAAGACAGATTCGGTACATTGAAGTCAACAAAATTCAATAGGTAAGAAGAGGAAACGCAGCCTCGAATCAGTTTATCCATAAAAATTATTTCCCGTCTCTTAACCAGTTATGGTAGTTATACCACATTATGCCTGTTTCACAAAGCAGAAGAATTAAAGTTAAGATGTTAAATTTAAAATTTTCCCTGGGTTGGGCAGTATTAAATTAAAAATTTTGCATCTTCTTCATCCCAGCATTGGACGCTTCTGCTCGGATGAAACTTAATACTATGTCCCTTCTTGCACTCGCTGCAAAACCTGACATTAATGTGTCTTCACGCGCCTGAATAGCAATCAGATCGTTCACTGCCACGTCAGGTCTACTATTATGCGAAACCATTTAGTTCAGGCTGCTCGGCTGGACTCTGATCAGCTTCAACAGGCTTAGAACTGTCCATGCAGGCGGCACAACTGGCTTCTATCGAAAGCAATGTCGCTACCTCGTCATTATCCGTAGCACTTTTAATGGTATGAACAGTATTTTCCGCTGGAAGTTGGGCGATAATCAATGGTACAGTAACGGCGTTACTAAACGATGAAACCGACTTAACTGATTCATGTTCCATGGAAGAACCTACAGCATTTAGATTCTCCTTCGGCGCACATTCAAAATAGTCAAAGAATTTACAACCGTTCAGGGAGTTTTGTAGTTTAATAAATTTATCTGTTAACCTGTGAAGAGGCAAAGTCGTACGCTCGTTTTGCCGTCACATATCTTTCGTTTGGGTAGGAGGTGCCAGTATGTAGGTCACGCTTAAGTATCGCAGGTAGCAGAAACTGTACAGCGACTAACAGCGGATAATGATCGGGAAAGATTGGAAAAGTCAACTTTTCTTACAAAAAGCGAAAGGAGCAGTTCCGGGTATAGCCAACGATCTTGTCTTTCTGTTTCTGAAATAGACGTTGGTCGGTGACATTTTTATCTCTTGCAACTCAAGTTAAGTCGAATATATCAATAACGTGTATTCTTTAATTTGGTTATAACAAGAAATTCATCTGCGGTGTATACTTTGTTACCATAACTGTAATCATAGAATGTGAAATATGAAATGATTTAAAATTAGTTTGTGAGACTATGGTAATAAAATATAAACCATAAATCAACCTTGAAGTCATAATAAATCGAATGTGTTAATTCCAAAAAAAAAGGACAAACGAACATAGTAATTAACAAATTAAAATCAAGAGCGAAAATTTAGAAAAAAGTGATTCTCCTTCAATTCTGACCACAAATTTAAATAAATCTTATCAAGAGACCGTGGATACCGGTCAGCTCACCTCGCCAAAAAGAATCCTTCTGACAAGTTAGTGTCCGAGCAGGGACTTCTTGCTAGTGCAGCTCTTGCGGCAGGTCCAGCACGGTGACTAGCGGATGCACCCGAAGAGCTAGCGTGAGAGGCGGATTTATTATTTTTATTAACATTCTTTGGAGTTGCAGACAGAGTACCCTGAATGGTGTCACATCAGCATAGCTGACACCAGCAGAATTTCTAGCCTTAGTTGTAACAGTTTTGTTACCAACTGAGTTTACGATGGAGGAATCGCTAAAGCTTGTTGTAGGCATGGATGGAACACTCGAAACCTCAACCGAATTTGCCAAGGGCAGATCCACAAGTTTTACCGTTGATGATGAGGACGAAGAGGAATGGTGGTGAGCAACATGGATCCACGTATGAGATAGCGACACTCATCGAATATTATTGTTAATTTTAACAAACTTTCCGCAACATCTCGCGGGAATTTCACTTAATTCATAAAAACTATTTCTTTTCTACGTGAAAAGCTTATATTCCGCTTCCTACAGTCCGGACATGACTGACGTAATCCATTCGAAGAATCTAGGACTGTGTCTGCAACACTACCACTTATACCTCCATACTTCGCGTGACAATAACGCTCGCAAAGCTAACAAGTAACGAATCGCTCAGAATCAGGGCCTGTTTTGGTTCGACATGATGTAAATAAACATTTGTCATGAGCATAGCTCAGGTTTCGGTAGAGCGTTCGCAAAATATTCGGCCTGCTGTTCCGCATGACAAAAAAAAAACAATTTAAAAAAGAAATGAAAATAAGAAAAAAAAGGATTTGAACTTAGAACAGGAGAAAAAAAGTTCAATCAATGAGTTTACACAATGTAAGTCCGTTTGTGAGGTCTATTGTCCGTACTGTGGGCCGTTCGTTGGTCCTGTCTTAGTCCGTCGGTAGTTGGCCCCAGTCCCCGTACCTTCACTCGCGCATCCACCCACTCTTACTCCGCTTCAGCGGTGGAGTATGCCGCTTAGCCACACATTTCTAGCAAAGCATTTTCGATTTTAATTTTTAATCTTTTTGTGTTTTCGACGACGTAAGGACCGATCACGGCGTTGAGAAAATATATAAAAATATTCAATTTGGAATCGTTCTATTTACACATGGGTTTATGATCGGTTTGCAAATCAAAACAAAATTTTTTTTTTTTTCGTTTTTGTTTTTTTTTACAAAAATTTCGCTGAATATCCAAAACTAGGTTCTTAAATTTAGCTTACCATTTATATCGATTCATGAAAAAAATGAACTCGATGCCTTCTGTAACCACGGGTTGTTGTTGTGACCCGGTGTTGCTTCTAAACTGGAGTTGACTGGTGTTCACGGATGTTGGCTCCTGTTCACAGCAAATGGGTTTTTGCCTTTATTGGTTAATGGATGTTCCGAAAAGTTGTTGTTGTTGACAACGGGTTGATTTCGATGGAATAATCGTAGTACGCAACAGGCCGTAGGCTGATATATTTCCAGCTGGTTGCAGTGCATCAGGCTTACGTAGCTTATTTTTTTTATACTGCATGCATGCATTTACTCGTAGTTTTAATTCTTTCATTTGTCTATATTTGTCTTTGAACTGGCCCGATTGTAAGCTTGTTTATCAAACGCTATTACAGCTACTTGCTGCCCCCCTATGCACACTTATGAGGCAAATATATGTAAGCAGTATCCTTTACTTGTTTTGCTTTCGTTTTATTTAAATTATTTGTTATGTTTTATATTTTGTATAGTTTTGATAGCATTTTTCTGTTGATCACTTGTTTTATCCAAAAAAATTACTTAAAGAGTTTGTATCCAACAAAAAGTTCCATCCTGACTGAACTAATGAAATTACCATGAAACGTACAAGTTCTAGTATTATGTTGCCAAATTCTTTGAATAACGACATGCGATGTTTTTGGCATTGTCCAACATGCTCGCCTTCGCGAAAAGTATGCCTTTGCATAATTTTCGGTGTATGGTTATCAAAACGCCTAGGAAATTGGGCTATCCAATCGTAGGCCTTACACGACTATAACGCTTCTTCTCCAGTACCTTGCTGCGACGCGCCTGGCGGCGGAGGAGCTCCCAATTGGGGGTCGTTTGCGCAATCTTCCCGTAGTGGAAGGGGGAGAAAAGGTGTACTTGATCGCTGATTCTGACTGCTAACCGCTCTTTTACCAGCCACTCGGCGGAGACCTCCACGATACGATCTTTGAGCTATCTTCCGGGTGTCAATGGCTGGAAGTCGCTGCTGCACACGTTTACCTTCGGATATGTTACAAAGTGGCGATCCATTTCCGATCCTCGCAGTTTGAACTCGACACTTAAAGTGGCGTTTGGTTCGCGGTCTTCTTACAATATCACATGCGACCTGTGTGAGTTAGCAACGGGATCCTGATTGTACGTGGTAGCCTTCGATTGCATGCGTGTATTGTCTAAGCGGTGTTTCTCGTGTTTATCTCCTGTTTGTTTCGAACAAGCAACCTTTCCTGCGTTTAATGTGATTTTTCTGAGAAATGTCCAACGATTACTTGCGCGTAGATATGTGTATGTGTACATATTTTCTTTGTAACATTTGGGTTTTTTGTTTGCTGTGATTTTGGTTTTTTTCCCTTCCTTTTTTTTTCTTTACTGATGAATTTTTTTTTTGTTTAAATTCCTTCTATTTTTCCGGGCATGTGTAAATAATATATTTCTTGTGTTGTTCTTTTCGGGGTTTTTTTGTGTGCTTTCTCTTTTGTATATTTGTATGTATGTGATATTTTCCTAAAAATGTTGTGTTTTTTTTCGGGCCTGTATACATATACACTGTGGTTTTTTTTTGGTTTTTCTTTCTTGTGTTTTTTTTTCTTGTCTCTATGTATGTGATATTCCGTAACATTTTGTTTTTGGTTTTCCTTTTTTTTTCCAAGCGGCGAGTGTAGGCCGGTGATGCTGTTGCTGCAGCTGTTGGGTTCGTACTTGGGGTGGTAATGTGCTGATCGTGACGTTGACTCCAATCACGCTCACGGCGTCCGGGAGAACTAACAAGAACGAAAAGGATAAGAAGTCCCTAAATTACAAATCCAAAGCAGGCAAGGACAACGGCAATAGCTCTAAAAATAATAATGACAACAGGGGGCTGTGGTTGCATCGTAGCTCGAGGACAGGGCAATTTAACAAGGTAGCATCACCGTCACCTACATCTCTAATCTCAGCGAACACCTTCTACGTTACCGCCACCAATACGGAGCGTACGAGCGATGCATCAAAACAAGCATACATTTGTCACAATCAAGCAGATATATGGTTACCGCTGGACGAAGACGACCCAACTACAATCCGTTTGCAGCATAGGTATGGGGCGTGAGCCGCCTGGAAAAAGGATGCTGCTGTAATTGCTGCTGCTGATGACTTTCCTGCTTTGGCGATGTGTCGCGTTGAGGCTGCACTTGCTGCTGATGAGTTATCTGCTGTGGGCGATGTGACGTGTGGAAACTGCACATGCTGCTGATGATTTCCGTTTATCTTATTTCTTGTTGTAAATATATGTTTTCCACAAGATTTTCCCCATGTTCTTTTTTTTTAACTAATTTTTTTCTATGGTTTCCTCGATATATATCCAACGATTTTCCATTATTGTTATTTATTTATTATTCTTTTTTTTAGTATTTTATTTTTTTTAATAGCTTTTTTCTCCCAAATGTTTGTTTTGTATTCTCTTTGATTTTCTTGGTGTTTTTTTTTCCTTCCATGCTTTTTTCTAGTAATTTTTTTGCTTTTTTTTTGCATATGTCTATTTTTTTGACTAATTGGTGACTAGCGTTGCTGGTTCTCGTTCGTGGTATATCTTTATTTCGCTTACGTGTGCCTTTTTAGTTGTCTTCCCATCCGGATTCTGCACCTCCATTATGACTGGCGTGTGGCGATATAGTTTGTTGCTGATCGTGAAGTCAGGATACTTCGAGAATTCAGCCAATACTCGTTGCATGGTTCTATCTACCCCTGGGCATTGCATCGCCTCGGTGATTGCCCGATGCATTTCTTCAGTTCCCTCCCCTAGCTGTCGCGGCAGTGTGTCCGCGATGACGTTGTATTTGCTTTTCCGGGAGTCGGTCTCGTTCGAAAATTGTTGAGGTTCCAGGGCCCAGCGAGCAACACGACCTGGTGGGTCCTCCATCGAGTTTAGCCATTTCAACGCTTGGTGGTCGGTGATTATGGTATCCCCTCGTGTAGTACCCCTTTGTAGTTCTTTGAACGCTCTTGCTGATCTCACTGTTGCATTTATGACCCTTTCATGAATTCCATACCTAGGCCTTGGAATATCAGACCTAGTCGTTGCAGTTTTGGCTGTGATGTTCCCTGTTGTTAAGGGCACTGTTCTTGCGTTCGGACCTCGGTTGTCCTTTCTAATGTTTTCGTTTGGGTCTGAATTGATGAACTTATAGCCATTGGGTCCGGTGTGGGGGAGATTTTGGACACGGCTGACGCTCGAGTTATCTCAGCCGCTGGCGTTGTTGTGGGCCGGGACACTCGGTATGGTCAGCTTCGTGCCTGCCTTCGCCAGGAAATCCATACCCAGGATAAGGGGGTCGACGCTTCTTCTCACCACCAATAATTCCAGGTGAAAGGATATGTCGCCCACTTTTACCTCTACTGTAATACTGCGGTTGCTGTCCTGGGATGCGCCGTCTGCTATTCGGATCGTGTGGCTTTTTGGCTTAGAGTTTAATATATCGGGAATGAGTCCGACGTCTTCAAAACGCTCTCCCAGAGCTATCAGCGCGTTTAGATCCTTGCTGGTTGCGGTCTCCAAAGAAAAGCTGATACTCCCAAAGACTGTTTCGGGCGATTCTTAATTAAATTCCCCTATTTTTTCCAAGTATTTAGAGACGTTCAAGACTGTTTAGTAAGGTTTTATATGGTTTCTATGTTGGAATCCGCTATTTTTTCAAAGTGTTTAGAAGTGTTTAAGATTGTTTAAGAGCGTTCAATAAGATTTTATATGCTTTGTATGTTGAATTTCGCTGTTATTTCAAATAATAATTAAAATAATAATAATAGTGATGATAATAACATTAATAAAGCAACAGAAAATTGAAAAGAAAGCTATTAAATACTAATAAAAACAGTGATAAATCAAAAGAAAAAGGAGCCCTATATTCGACTGCGGGCGACTTTCTTTACACCCACCACATTTATTTTAACAGAATACTAGATGGGTGTGGCTGATTTGATTAAGTTTTGTAATACGGGATATAAGTGGATTTGATAGGAGTAATGAGCAAAAAATCTGAAAAACTGTTCTTAGTTTATGTCGGACTCCGGGCGTATATCCCGCACGCACAAAACTTCGAGTATTTTTGCCAAATTTGAAGCCGATAACTTCGTTCGCCTGCAACAGACATTGGACAGACATACACGCACGTATCTGTTTAGATTTGGATGTTTATCATGTTTATATCTATGTTTTATGGAGTCTCTGAAGTTTCCTTCTGAATGCCGCAAGTGTTTCGACAAAGTGAATATGACCTTTTGCTATGGTGTTCGGTAGAAAAATATTACTTTTGTCATGAAACTCTTTTTCTTTCCTCGCCGCTGAGGATTTAAATTTTTTCTTAGACAAAGAAAAAAATAAAAAAAAAATCACAATTAAAGGAAACGTCGCGTCGGTTGTCTAGCGTCCGTCTGTCCACCGTAAGTCCGTCTGTCACCGTCTGGAGTCTTCCCTAACGTGCCATCATATGCACACCCTCCCCTTTTTCCAGCCACAGCGGTGGCAGCGCGCGCTTAGCCACGCATTGGGGAAACAAACAAAAAAAAATTAAATAAACTTAACTAACTTACTGTACAGGCGTCGGTGCAGGGTCGGCCGCGGTAGCTGCTACATCGGCACTCTGGGTTCCTCCTTCCAATAAGCCTTTTCCACCCTTCACAGCAGAGTTTCACAATCGTAGGATCTCCGTACAAGTAGCTGAATTAGGTGACAAAGTTCTTCTTTCGTGTTGGCTAAAAGGCAGTAACCAACTCACCACGCAGACCGATTGTCATTTCATATTAATTTTCCCATCTCTTTTACAATAAATTAAATCAAAGTTTATTTCGATCTTCTTGTTAATTTTTAATACTCATATTAATTTTCACATCTCTTTTATAATAAATT